TCCTACTTCTTGTTCAGCCAATTGCTAAGACAAACAAGTTTGTTTACATTTATGGGAGATACTTCTGTCTGCTTCTTATTTTCAATATCACCTGAAAGTGAGAACAGGCGTTCACATGGCACTTCTGTAGCCAGCATTGCAAGGTATTTATGTGCCAGGTATGCTAAACATTCATATGCCCCTTCATGCTTCAGCCACCATTCTGGAGGACATGCTTTCATGTTTATGATGTTTGTTAAGCAAATAGTGCTTTAATTAAATTTGTGACTGAACTCCTTGGGGGAGAACTGTATGTCCCCTGCTCTGTTTTACCTGCATTCTGCCATACATTTCATGTTATAGCAGTCTCGAATGATGACCCAGCACATGTTGTTTGATATATGAACACTGTCACTGCAGATTTGACAAAATGCAAAGAAGGTACCAATGTGAGATTTCTAAAAAGAGCTACAGCAGTTGACCCAAGGTTTAAGAATCTGAAGTGCCTTCCAAAATTTGAGAGGGATGAGGTGTGGAGCATGCTTTCAGAAGTCTTAAAAGAGCTACACTCCGATGCGGAAAATACAGAACCCCAACTACCAAAAAAGAAAATCAACCTTCTGCTGGTGGCATCTGACTCAGATGATGAAAATGAACATACATTGGTCTGCTCTGCTTTGGATCATTATCAAGCAGAACCCGTCATCAGCATGGATGCATAGCCTCTGGAATGGTGGTTGAAGCATGAAGGGACATATGAATCTTTAACGCATCTGACATGTAAATATCTTGCGACGCTGGTTACAACAGTGCAATGTGAACTCCTAGTCTCACTTTCAGGTGACATTGCAAACAAGAAGCAGACAGCATTATTTCCTGAAAATGTAACCAAACTTGTTTGTCTGAGCAATTGGCTGAAGTAGGACTGAGTGGACTTGTAGGCTCTAAAGTTTTACATTGGTTTATTTTTGAATGCAGGGTTTTTTTGTACATAATTCAACATTTGTAAGTTCAACTTTCATGATAAAGAGATTGCACTACAGTACTTATATTAGGTGAATTGAAAATACTATTTCTTTTGTTTTTTACAGTGTAAATATTTGTAATAAAAATAAATATAAAGAGAGCACTGTACACTTTGTATTCTGTGTTGTAGTTGAAATCAATATATTTAAAAACATAGCAAACATCCAAAAATATTTAAATAAATGGTATTCTATTATTGTTTAACAGTGCGATTAATCGCGCAATTAATCATGATTAATTTTTTTAATTGCGCGATTAATCACAATTAATTTTTTTAATCGCTTGACAGCCCTACTTTTTATGTAGCATCTTGTAAAACTAGGCAAATATATATATGAGCTGATGTACCCCCTGGAAGACCTCTAAGTACCCCCAGGGGTACACACACCCCACCCAGCACCTGCACACTAACCCAACAACTGGGCTGAGACTAAAGCATAACAGCCTTCAGGAGATTGGATTAGTATGAACCACAGGCAGCAAACAGGAAGGACCAAGGCACCTAAGGGCCAAAGGCTTCTGCAATGGCAAGGAAAGGATCCCTGAGGTGCTGAATGCCCTCAATTCCCACTGAAGAGCATGGCAGTCGAGGGCATGGAGCACCCCTCGGGACTGAGCCCAGCTCACATGTTACACGAGCCAGCATCTCTCTGGTGTGGGACCTTTCCCTATGCAAAGCAGTTACCTGGAGGTATCTGGGCAGATCACCAGCAGGCCAGGGATACCTTTGGGGAACTGCTGTAACAATGCCTTGCCAGGCTCGATACAAAGGAAGAAGGAAAGATGCTTAAGAGCAAGGATGCACTTGCGATTAGACAGGGGCTTGGTCGCCCATGATCTAGGTTCAATTCTGGGCACAAGTTACTGAATCTCGCTGTGTCTCAGCTCCCCACCCCATGGAGCCCCGTGAGGATCTGTTTGTTCTTGTAGATGCGGCGCTCAGATAGCTGCTTTCAACTACCTGAAAGGGGGTTCCAAAGAGGATGGATCTAGACTGTTCTCAGTGGTACCAGATGACAGAACAAGGAGTAATGGTCTCAAGTTGCAGTGGGAGAAGTTTAGGTTGGATATTAGGAAAAATGTTTTCACTAGGAGGGTGATGAAGCACTGGAATGCATTACCTGGGGAGGTGGTGGAATCTCCTTCCTTTGAAGTTTTAAAGGTCTGGCTTGACAAAGCCCTGGCTGAGATGATTTAGTTGGGGATTGGTCCTGCTTTGAGCAGGGGGTTGGACTAGATGACCTCCTGAGGTCCCTTCCAACTCTGATATTCTATGATTCTATGATACAGCAAGGGGTGGGCACAGCGGGCGATCAATAGCTAGAACTGGAACAGGCTGTCCAACCATTCAATGGCTCGGATTACAAACTGAAGAATGTTGGGCCACCTCATGCAGTCCTTCTTCAGACAAGTCTCCCACTGATGACTGCAGAGTTTGGCCCCGAGTTCTGGCCCTCCGAAGCCCTGTTTGTGCAACTGGCCTTTCTAATGCAAGAGCAAACTGGCTTGACTAAAACATAAGCCAGCCTAAAACTTTACTGCAAGCTTAAATTTGAACCTTTTCCTGAGGGGAAATTTTGTTTAAAGCCAAGAATACAATAAAAGATTCCCCAGACCAACACTTTATGTCTGCTCCTCAGCACCGGGCCACCATCATCATACCCATGAAATAGCCCATCCAGCCAAACAGTATGGACCACTGCACAAGAACGTCCATGCCAATGAGGAGCAGCCCAAAGCACTTGAGGGCCTGGTCCACAACTTGGGCTGCTAGGTACTGTGGGAATACAAACAACTACAACAACAACTCAGGATAAGTCCCCAGCCTGATGGCTGCTTCTCCAAATCAATCCTCTGAACCTCACTGCTTCTAATATGCTCCAGCAGAAACACTGTCCCAGGAGCACTGAGCTAAATTGAGCTGGGGAGCTGAAAATCATGAAGCAGACTCATTTTTAATTATGGCTATTCAAGTTCCAGGAATGCAGAAAGTAAATATATATTTGTTTTTAGGCCATCTTTTGCCCCATTTGCAACAGGAAATTGAATGTACTTGATTCCCTCTGGCTATGCTCCTGAGAGAAACCCAGGGGAAATGAATCCGCTGTAACCAGCATACATAAAATATAGTTTTTGTTATGCCCTCACTGCTCATTGACTCTGCCATAAAGATTTCCCTGGGGATGTTCAGATACATGCAGGATTAACCCCTCGTTCACAACATCCTGAAATTCTAGTCCTGCTTTAAATGTTACACCCCTCCAACCACCCCCCACTGCAATCCCCATGGGTAAACTGCGTCCTTATTTCCTGTTTGGTGCTTGAGAGCTCTGGACTATGCACATTGATCAGAATCAAACACAAATGGGCCACATTCCACCCTGGACTTCGAATCTGGCTGGACCAAACCCAACTGCCTAGACCTGCAGATGCAAACTGAGCTGTTGCTACCAAGTCCAGGCAGTTGAATTTGCAAATCAGTCCTTAGCTTACATGCTGCCATTTCAAACACATTTGCATACACACTCTGCACACACTTGATCAATTTGTACTGTGACTGCTGCAGGCTCCTTCTCTTTTGCGTTCCTCACTCTCTTTTCCCCCTTCCAAACCATCCACAGTATCGTGGCAAAATTATCTACATTGCCTGCTGCTCCGATCATACCCAGCTTCCCTTCAAGTTCCTTCCCTGGCTCCCTCTCAACTTCTCAATCAAATTCAGGTTTGAGCTTTCCCCACAAATGAGGTCCTGCCTACTTCTGTTCTTGTTTCCTTTTGCTTCCTGCTTTGCCCCTGCTCTCTGTGCAAGCTACACAACCAACCACTCCTGCTTCTTCCTCCTCACACTTCCAGTTTTGATCTCCTATGGCTGGAACCTTCGTCTGGACCAGATCCACAATTCTAGCCCTCCATCTCCTTCAAGTGTCTCCTTAAAACTCACTTCTATGAAGCCTAAAAACATGTTGCTTTACCTGTTTAAATAATAATCACCCCCCAAATTTGTAGATGGGGAAACTGAGGCATGGAGATGGAAAATCTCTTCCCTAACGGCACCCTGCAAATCAGTACCAGAATCTGGATTAAAACTCAGATCTCCTGACTCCTAGTAGCACCCTGACCACTAGACTTCCTTGTCCAGAGGTCTAGTGGTCAGGGTGCCCACTCTCCCACTCTGGAGATACCCTGGCTCCCCTGACTACCTACCTTTTTGTCCAGAGGTGATTGAACTCTATTGACCAGTGGTAGGCACCTGTCTCCATGTATGGAGGTAACCAAACTCCTTTGTTGTTAAGTAGACTCCTCACCTCTGGGGCACCTAGACTCTAGGCCCACAGCTACACATAGTTCTACAAGCACTTTTTCTTCTTCATAACTATGCAGGGCCTGGCTGCTTCAAATTAAGTTAGAACTCCTGCCCTTTTGTATCAGCTGGGACAAAATAACTCCATCAAAGAACTGTGCCACGAGACTTATTGTCTTGACATTGCATCAGCTAACGCACAAGGATGCAATGTAATAGCATGACACTGTAACATCATCACATTTGGCCACTGCATCGCCCTGTGGTTAATCTGGCAGCTACGCAGCCTACTCATTGTCTGTTTGGCTCTCTCGTGCTTTGAGCTACACTCAGCAATATGGTAGCACAGGGTTTCTCAGAAGCGCTGGAGCGGTTGGAATAGATACTTTTAAAGAAAGGCCTGGCTAAAAAACAGCCGCGCTCTCTGGAAGATTGACATGGGCTTTGAAACCAAACCTGAAAGAGACAAAGTGGGTGAAAATTTTAACTGCCACTGAAGTTGATAACATCCCTTTAGAAAGAGAGTGGACACATTGGTTGGCCAGCCTTCCCACAGCCAGCCCCCTGTGGCTGTTATACTGATTTCTTCCCAGGGGCTAGTGGGGTTTTCTTTGAGTGAATGAAAAGACACCAACCATCCATAAACTGGTGTCACCTTAGCTGTAATCTAATTGTGGCAAAGCAGGGTCCTTACCTTCTCCTGGTATTGCCGCCTTGAGGAGTCCAGAGACTGGATGAGGGCTGTGGCGTGGCCGATGAACATGGCATAGCAAGTGGCACCAACGATCATGCTCAGCATAGTGAGCCACACATCTGACATGCCAACGGGAGCCTGCTGCCCATAGCCAATGCAGAGCATGTGACTCATCGCCTTGAACAGCGCATAGGAATACTGCTTCCCCCAGGAGTCATTCTAAAGAGACAGACACAGACAGACAGACAGACAAGGCTTTAGCAGTGTTACAGGACACAAGAAGGAAGCCAGGGAGACATTCCCTGGGACAGACACTTTTAAAACAGATGCCTAAGGTTAGGCTGCTAAGTCCATATTTAAGGTGCCTAAACCGGTGACTTAATTCCCCAAAGGCCACATACGACTCCCCTGAAAACAGCTGGGCACTCAGTATATTTGAAGAAATTAGATCTTTTATTTAGGTGCCTAACTCTGGGCACAGAAGTCTAAATTTAGGCACCAACATTTAAAAATCATGGCTAGGATTTACACAAATTGCATATACTGGCTCCAGCCAAACCTTCTGCAAAGGGAACCCAGAGAGACTAACATGCTGCTAGCCCAGGATGATCTTAGGCAGCGCCATCGATCACAGCACACAAAGGCTACAGGGTGATTCCCAGGGTGATTTGTGTGCTGTAGGAGGAACTGCAGCAAATCATTGCTCTGCCTAAAAACTGGGTTAAGCTGGGGAACAGCTGGGGTACCACAACTGACCTGCTCCAAGCTGATGCTTAGAACCCCTTGATGGGTTGTATTCTAACATCACTTGTACGTCTCTGATTTACTCTCCAGCTTAGTCGTGCCAGACCCCAACTGAACAGGCATGAAGGGGTGAAGGCAAGTTAGTATTTATAATGTCCAAGCAGCCCTTTCCCCAACAGCAGCGCAGGGACTTGTTTTCAGTGTAAAATAGTGCTACTCCCTAGGAGCAGCACAAGCCATGGGTGACCATATTGCAGGGATGCCCTAAGCTGTCACAGTGAAAGGCAAATCGATTCATTGCCTTCTTGGGACAGTCCTGGCTCTCCACTGAAATGAACAGTAGGAGCACACCAACTGCTACAGAAGTAGATAGGGCTGAATGCAGGCAAGTTTGAGGTTTTGTGAGCTACTCAGACTAGACTGAGTTCACACACCAAATACAGGTTTATTAACTACACTAGGGGTGCAGTGATAGCTCTACGGTCTTTCCCACAAAATCCTACCTGGTCATTACACTGTCATCACACACTGCTGCAACAACATATATGAACAATATCTTCACTGTGGTTACATGAGTGACAGTGAAGAACCCACAAATTCACCACTCATCTGTTCCTAGGAAGATGCTAACGATACGGATTGATCTGTGCCAATAACATGGGCCAGACCAGCTTGGGGAAGGTCTTTGTGGGGAGGGGTTGTTTGGTGGGTGAGTGTAGTATAACCAAGGAATAGTTCTATTAACCACCTAGAGAGACCCTGTCTACACTAGGGACACTCCCTAGGAGTTTCCCACCATTGGCTCAGCTCCACCATGTAGCAACATTAGGAAGCCTCATGCTAATGGGCTCTCAGAGGTTTTTGGACACTGCCCACCATGGAGAGATCTAACCACAATGGCGGGAACAGGCTGGTAATCATCTACAACAGGACTCCCAACATTACCAACTTCAATGGGAAGCTTGTCAGAAGCTCCATTAGCACAGATGGAGACAGAGCAGATAATTGCTGTTTCTGGGCAGCCAAGAACAGCTGGAACCTTTGGAGAGTGCTCATGGGCACTAAGCAAGTGGACAGAGACTCAGGATAGTCTGACCCAGGCTGTATTCAGTGGCCATACGTATAATGTCCTGATTAAAAATGGACAACACAACAAAAGCAGCGGCAAAAGGAACCCATTCAGAGCCGCATAAATATAGAGCTCTTCACCATGTCAAACTCTCTGGGCTGGTCTTGCTAACAAAGAAGGATCCAGTTCAACCCAGTGCATTGGAAAACATCTCTTGCCATTGAGACAACATGGTAATTGCAGATTCAGAGCCCTACTATGAAATGGGCCCCTCACTGTGCCAAGGGGAGCAGCGTTTGCACCTTGGAATGGGAGCACAGATTTCACTTGCAGACAGTGCTCCATGAGGTTCCTCCATATGCACCTCAAACTAGGTTTTGTTTTAATGAACGTGTTGTTCCCTTACCACTAGTTTCCAGTTATGGTATTTACCCACCTTCCCTTTCCCTGGGCCCACTTCATTCTAGCAATCACAGTCATCACTGTAAAATGCTCCTTCACTTACACAATGACACACACACACGCTCCAATCATTAGCTCTCTCTCCCCACCTGGCCTATTGTCTATGTACTGAAGGGCTAGAGGGAGCTCTGAGATTGTGGGCTGGACCAGCTGCCCTGGCCAGACCTCTGCCCATGATGGCAGGTCACCTGTGAGGTGGGCAGTGGATTGACAGCCCCAGTTATGCCAGCTGCCACCATTGTGAGGGGGCAGAGGCAGCACAGCGGTCTCTCTCCCTCTCTGTGTAATGAACCTTCCCTGTTAAATGGATGTGGTTTGTGTTAATCAAATTGCATTAGAGACAGTAGGTCACTGCTCAGTGGGAGTGAGCAGAAGGCTGATGCTGGGCAGGAGAGCTGCAGCGTCACAGCCCATGGGAGAATTTGGATCCCTAGCAGTGGCTTGCAGGATCTTATTTTGGGAAGGCAGAGAAGGCCTGTGGAGAAGTTACAGAGACCAGGTATGTCCGTTCACTCGTGTGTGTGACTGGGACACACAGGTCCAGTGCAGAGTGGCCCAAGAAAGATGATCTGGGTCACATCACTGGGGAGCAGAAGCATAAGATGAGCATGGAGCAGCCAGCCTCAGAGCTCAGTGCACACCAGGAGAAGTGAAAAGGGCAGTTTAGCCACGGTCTGCACATAATCCTTTGTTGTGCCCAATTTAGGTTGGTGAGGCGGCATGATGGAAACCCAGCCACCCCACAGTGCAGTGGTTGCATTGATACCCTTCTGCCTTCATGCTTATCTGTGGCTGTCACTGCAATGACAGAGGCAAGAGAAGGGCACTACACACTGGGGAGACAATGTCGTGTTTCACCCCAGTTGGGCAGCGCTCAGGAAATGTCTCCATTGACCTTGTCATTCTGGCTTCTCTACAGCGTCTCTCAGCCTGAAGGATCCCACATGCTCTATCAGCGGTACATCTATGAGAATCACTTATCATTTCCATCATGGAAAGGCAGCTGCTTTTGGGGTTGAACGCAACAGCTGTTGAACACTGCAGTGCAACTTGTTTAAACTTGCAGTGCTACAGTTTAAAACAGGAAGTGAAGGAGGCTAACAGAGGGAGTTTGCCTGGGATCTGTCCAAGAGGAGGTACGCCAAGTGCTGCATTAGGGGGGCTGTGTTGGTGAGTATATGAGTGTCTGTTGCAGGGACAGTTTGTCAGTTTGATCGTGCGCTTGATTGTTTGTTTGAAAAGTGTGAATTGGGAGTGCTTTGTTCCAGGTGAGCCTTGAGTGGGTCTGACTTTTATAAAAAGCCAGTCAGATGCAAACCAGCTGCGCAGCGAACAGCAGAGAGGCTAACAGAGGGAGTTTGCCTGCGGAGAGCCTTTCATCTTGCAGGCTTCTCTGAGTAGTTACTACAACAGCTGAGGAAGCTTTTAGAAGGAAGGTAATATGGATGGTGAGCGTTCAGCGGTTGTGACCTGCACAGGATGTGCCAGGTTTGTCTTTCTTCCACAGGACAGAAACGACTTTGTCTGTACAAAGTGCAAGCTGGTCTCCATATTGGAAGAGAACGTTCAAGGTCTGGAGCAACAGGTATCGACCCTGTGTTGCATAAGAGAAACTGAAGATTTCCTGGACAAATGTCAGGATATGCTTCTACGGGCACAACGTTCTGAAGAATCAGAGCAGGCTGCGCAGCGGGGACAGAAGGATGGTGAAGAAATTTGGCAGCATGTGACCTCCAGAAGAAGAAAGGGGAGCGCCCATGTACGAGCAATGCAGATACAGGTAAGCAACCGTTTTCATGTTCTCTCCACAGGTACTAATGCAGAGAGTGGACTAGATGATACATATGAGGGAAGGGAGCAGAAGGAGACTCCGCTGATTGGAAGGCATGAAATGCACTGTCCTAGGGATGGAGGTTCCACGACCACCGCTCCCAAGACAAGGAGGTGGGTGGTGGTGGTCAGGGACTCCCTCCTCAGGGGGACTGAGTCATCTATCTGCCGCCCTGACCAGGAAAACTAAGAAATCTGCTGCTTACCAGGAGCTAGGATTCATGACATGACGGAGAGACTACTGAGACTCATCAAGCCCTCAGATCGCTACCCCTTCCTACTTCTCCATGTGTGCACCAATGATACTGCCAAGAATGACCTTGAGTGGATCACTGCAAACTACATGGCTCTGGGAAGAAGGACAAAGGAGTTTGAGGCACACGTGGTGTTCTCGTCCATCCTCCCTGTGGAAGGAAAAGGCCCGGGTAGAGACCATTGAATCTTGGAAGTCAACAAATGGTTACGCAGGTGGTGTTGGAGAGAAGGCTTTGGATTCTTTGACCATGGGATGGTGTTCCAAGAAGGAGAAGTGCTAGGCAGAGAAGGCCTCCACCTAATGAAGAGAGAAAAGAGCATCTTCTCAAGCAGGCTTGCTAACCTAGTGAGGAGGGCTTTAAACTAGGTTCACCGGGGGAAGGAGACCAAAGCCCTGAGGTAAGTGGGACAGTGGGATACCAGGAGGAAGCATGAGCAGGAGAGCATAAGAGGGGAGGGCTCCTGCCTCATACTGAGAAAGCGGGATGTTCAGTGAGTTATCTTACATTCCTACACACAAATGCAAGAAGCCTGGGAAACAAGCAGGGAGAATTGGAAGTCCTGGCATAGTCAAGGAATTATGGTGTGATTGGAATAACAGACACTTCGTGGGATAACTCACATGACTGGAGTACTGTCATGGATGGATATAAGCTGTTCAGGATGGATATAAGCTCAGGAAGGACAGGCAGGGCAGAAAAGGTGGGGGAGTTGCACTGTATGTAAGAGAGCAATATGACTGCTCAGAGCTCCAGTGTGAAACGGCAGAAACCTGAGAGTCTCTGGATTAAGTTTAGAATTGTGAGCAACAAGGGTGATGTTGTGGTGGGAGTCTGCTATAGACCACCAGAGCAGGGGG